AGTGGTATTTTGCTGTTTTTCTTCAAATTCACCCCCTGCTTGTTTTTCACGAAGACCCCATGGGGGCATCCCAACAGACCGTGGCCTGCATGCAGAAAACGTTTACTCCACAGCCCAGGCAATACAAGCTGGAAAAAAGGGAAATCCCACCATTCCGTTTTTCGCAAGTTCGCCCCTTCCCTACTCTTGCAAAACAGACCACAATTAAGGCCCCAGACAAGAACCCAGGCAGCCTTCGAGGGCCCCAAGTAGTTGAACACCTAACTGCAGTTACTAATGTTTGCATTTCCGCAGTTCCCTTTCTATATGGTTCCGAAGTTTGCGCAGGGTCTCCAAGAGAGTCCTTGGATACAAAACGCGACAAGTATGATGTTCCATGCGTTCGCCCATCAAGCCTTGCCAGAACTTGAGCGCGCGCGAAGCGCGTGATGGTGCCAGTATAAGATACGATAACAGTTTCTAAGGTGAACCGTATAATATATTATAATATGATCTAAAGAAGATGACCTGGTATAAATTTATGATTTAGATCTAATGCGAGGGTATGATACATGAAGAACAGACGTACTATCATACCAGACGGGTTCGTAATATATATATATATATATATGATGTTGCAATACAAGATACTATACATTGTTACGAGTGAATCTGATATGATATCGGAGATACACGTTTCATAGTGCACTTATATTATGACGTAATATAGAAAAAATGTATTATGTGATATTATATACGATGGTATGGTGTATGTTCATTCGATGTATGATTATACCGTATAGGGTAGTACGATGCGATACAAGATGACGATGTAATATTCCATACTTTGAGGTACGTTAAGACATCATCAACTAGTTATGATTAGATAAGGGTACATGAGGTGAGATACTAAAAGATGAGAGAGATGTATCTATATCTATACATATATCGACAGAGAGGGATATATATTTATAGAGAGAGAGAGAGAGAGAGAGAGAGAGAGAGAGAGAGAGAGAGAGAAAGAGATAAAGAGAGAGAGAGAGAGAAGGAGAGACAGAGAGACAGAGAACGAGAGAGAGAGGAGAAATCAAAGAAGGGGGCACAGTCCCACGCAGTCGGACATACCTTAGCCGTCTCGGGCTCAGTTCCGCCGCGCCCCAAGCTCTCCGGGTTTGAAGTCAGCCTTCTAGCTAGCCGTTTAGGATTTCTCGGGGCCCCTTACGGCCCCTTGGAACCTTTAAGGGCCCCCTTGGGGCCCCATGCAGTCCCTCGGGGCTTTTCCTGGCACCCTAGGGCCCCTCACGGCCCTTTTGCGCTCTTGATGGCCCCTTAAAGCCCCTCATGGCCCCTCAGGGCCCCTCGGGGCATTTATGATCAGATAAGATACGGTAAGGCAATCTAGGACATGATATATAAAATAAACTACGGTAAGATAACACAATCAATTAGAAGAAGCAACAAGATATGATAAAACATGGTGATACCATAAAATGTACTATACTGTGATATAAGATTCGATGCTACAAGATACGTGCGTGCCTCCTTCTCCCCTTGTCCCCCCCAGAAAGAAACAACTACATAAACGTAAACTTTTTGGCGTTCCGCGCTGATCTCTTGGATCTGCGCTGGAGTGCCCTGGCGGCGCCTCCGGCGTCGCCCCTGGCCCGCTCCGCGCGCCGGGGAATTGGGTCCAGCGCAGATCCAAGAAATCCGCGCGAAGCGCCAAACGTTTGTGTTTGTGGCGCTTTTTCTTCGTCTATTCCCCGTCCGCGCGTTTCCCTGGGAGTTTCCACGGCGGCCGGGGAATTTCATAGTCCAGAAGTTCGGTCAGGCTCAAGCCCACCGCTTCGCGACACGGGGGCGCAGCCCTACGCAGTCGGACATATCTTCGCCCTCTCGGGCTCAGTTCTTCCACCCCCCAACGTTTTCCAGACTTGCAACCAGCCTCCTAGGTAGACGAAGCTCATGGCCGATTAGAGCGAGCAGAAAGAGGGGATACACACATATATTTATATCTCGATCTATCTATCTATATATATATATGTATGAGAGAACTATGCAGTTGTAACTCTGTAGTGTATATGTATATGCACATGCATATGTATATGTATATGTATATGCAAATGTTTATGTAAATGTGCATGTGCAGGTAAATGCGCATGTAATGTATATGTATAGGTTTCTGTCTATGTATATATGGAAATGTATATATATGTGTGTATGTATATGTTTATCTATATGTAAACATATATGTATGTATATGTACATGCATGCTTACATGTATGTATATACGTATATGTATATGTATATGTATATGTATATGTATATGTATATGTATGTGCATATGTATATGTATATGTATATGTATATGTATATGTATATGTATGTATGGATGTATAGCTACATATATATGAATATATATATATATATGTATCGTATGCAAGAGGGAGAGAGACACTGAGAGAGATAGAAAACAACAACAAACAAACGACACAACAAAACAACACAAGCAAAAAAGGGGGCACAGCCCTCTCGCGCTCAGTTCTACCAGACCCCCAAACACCCCGATCGAACGGCAGGGCCCCCTAAGGCCCGCTAAGGCCCTATAGGGCCTCTTAGAGCCCTTACGGGGCCCCTTGGGCCCCCTTGTGGCTTTTCAGAGCTCGCTAGGGCTCCCTAGGGCCTTCAGGGCCCCTTCGGGCCCTGTCGTTCTCTTTAGGGTCCCTTCTGGGCTTCAGGGCCCCTCAGGGCATATCATATAGGATAGGATGCGATAAGTTACGAAAAGGCAAGCTGAGACAATACATAAGGTAATAGTAGCTAATGCTAGATATAGATTAGATACGGCCGGAGGATCTGGTATAAGATATGTTGATGTAGTACAAGAACACATAACATGATATACAATCGTATAGGACACGTTATTGACGTGTCTTTATTATCCCAGTTTCTTTTGAGGACGCTCGCTCCAGGGCAGCCGGGCTGAATATCGCCCCCCCTCCGAGAACAGAATTGAGTTCGTTGGGCTCTTAGCATTATAGGCAACTCCTTAGACGGAAGCCATTGTGCTTCCCTTTCTGACCCGCGCGAGCTCACGCCGCGAGCGCAGAAAAAAAATCTTCGACCCGGGGAGCAAGGAAAGGGGTCCTAAGTCGGGCCTGTCCCCTCTACGGGGGGGCTTTGGACGAAAAGTATAAGATACGAGAACAAAGAGGCACATAATATCCCGAAGCTAATCTAGGGACCATGTTGGGGGTATGTTGTGCCCTTTTGGGGGGTATGTTTGGGGAACTATTTATTTTTCGTCGAAGATCCCCCTGCAGGGGGACACGCCCGACATAAACTCTGCAGGCCTTGCCCGCCGGGCGCGCTCGCCCGGTTTCGGGCCCGCGACGGCCAGCACGGGTCGGCACGGCTCGAGACGTGCGGCAAGCAGCTGGGGTCCAGGCCTGCGCTCACGACTTGTCGCGACGTCGCCTTTTTTCTTTGCCGCGCGGTCGGATCTCGACGTCCGATGATGTGTCGCGAGGATTGGTCGCGATAAATCTTATCCGCACGGCCGGATCTCAGGGGCGAGGGCTGCAGGAGAGTGCCCGGGAGAGGAGTCCGAGGCGGCCTCCGAGTGCCGCCGCGGGCCCCCGGAGGAGCACGGAGGGTTTCCCCACCCGCGTGCTGCCCCCCCCCTGCGTGAACTCAAGCAAGAACAAGCGGTATAAACGTAAACTGTTGGCGTTCCGCGCGGACTTTTGTCGGATCTTCGCTGGAGTGCCCCAGCGGCTCCGCGCGCCAGGGAAGGGGCCCAGCGCGGATCCAAGAAGTCCGCGCGGAGCGCCAAGCGTTTGTGTGTTTGTGGCGTTTTTTCTTCTGTTCCCCCTCCAGCTGTTTCCCCGGGTATTTCCTCAGCGGCTGGGGGAACTCATAGTCCTGGAGTTCGGCCAAGCTCAAGCCCACCGCTTGGCGACACGGGCGCTCCCACAGAGGCAGGGGGCGGCGGCGACTTGTGTTGGCATGCCATACAGTGGGGGCCCATACCAAGAAACACCCTGCTTGCCTCCAGGGTGCTCCGGGTTTCTTGGCGGTTTCGATGGCTTTGCAATGGGAAGCGTGACGTTCCCACGTCACAAATCAATGGACGCCCTGGGATTTCAGGGTTGGGTTTCTTGTGGAAGGTTTCTTGCTCCACTGTGCCTTTATCTTTAAGTCGGGCATGTCCCTCTACAGGAGGCATGTTCAAGCACAGCTAAGAATAGTATGGTAACGATTGGTCGTGCTCTTTTTTGTCAATGTTCGATTGCATTTGTCTGGCTATCGTTTCGCTTTCCTCCAGAATCCGCCCGTAGGAGGACATGCCCAACCTAACTTTTGCTCTCGCTCGAAATGCTCCCAGTGGCCTTCGACCCATTAGGCTGTCTTGAAGGCCTCTAGGGCGCCCGCTGGCTGTCTTGAAGGCTATCTTGGCGTGGGGGGCGTCGAATGCCACTTTTTCAGTTCCCCCCCATGGGCCCCTCTTAGGGCGCCTCTCGGGGCCCTCTGGGGCCTTTCTTGGGGGCCGCTTGGGGCCCTCTTGGTCCGTCGTGGACGATCTTACGATTTACCAGTAAAGCGAGCTTCCGAACATCAGATTGAATCTAATAGTTGTTCGATCATCCGTGCCTGTTTTGCCAGCCCCCGAGGCCTCGAAGATGGCCGAAGAGGCCCCGGAGAACCAGAAACAAGAAAAGAGGCCAGGGCAGCAGATGTGCGTGTCACGAGACGCATATAGAGCCTGTGCCAGGTTCGAGGATGGGTTTGTTTTCCAGCGCGGGCCCCGAACAGTGGGTTTTGTGCCCGCGATGAAACACATCATGCGCAACTCGTCAGATTCATGACTGAAAACCTCTTCGTATGATCGTCATAGTTTCTGTCCCATATCTCCAACCACGTCCTTATCCTCTTACGTCCTCCTTCCTCCTGAGCGCCATCGGCCGCTGTTGCACAATTCGCCCAGTTGCTCGGGCAGCGTTCGGCTTCTGTTCCGAAGCCTCCCTGGTAGCTGTTCCAAGCCCAGGATGTGACATCGACAACTGCAGGCGGCCAGCCTGGGGCGGAATTGAGAGGGGGCGGACGTTGAACAGAGCTAAAGGTGGGGATGTATAGCGAACGCTATATCCGCCGCAACTTTGGCTCAGTGAGACACTTTCGGATCATAGTATCAGACAAGGGCCACGCCCATCAATGATCCACCTCTCTACCTCATGGCTTGTCTGTTGCCTGTCATATTGCTTGCCATCAAAGGATGAGTTATGGGATGTTTCGATACGTCGCCGACGTTGTCCTAAGAGCAGGGCTCTCAGCTTTTTGTCTCAAGGTCAAGCCCCTGACCCTTGATTTTCACTGGCGGGCCTTCTCAGAAGGCTCGGAAGTCCCCCGGCCCTCTGAGAAGTTTCCAAAGTCTTCCCCGAAGATGCAGAACATTTTACAGAGGGCTAGAGGGCTTCTTAGAAGCCCTGCCGTCTTCTGAAAAGGCCTTTAGACTGCACGTACAAATGGCGCTTTGCTAGAGTGAACTTTGGTGTGAGCTCTCAGGGGCCCCCTTTTTTGTCCCAAGGCATGGAAGGCGCTAGTATAACGGATGAAGCAAAATATGCGCAGACTAGTTCTAAATCGGTAGGCGGTCGTTTTCTTGAGCCAGTTTCGGCAAAGAAACTGGGCGTGGACAAGAAGGCCACGGTCACGAGCTTCTGCTCCAGGCCGTTCCTCTAGTGGCGGCTTTCTGTAGCTGCCACGAGTTAGCTGAGGTCCACGCCCACTCCTGGCAAAATGCTTAAAGAGGTGTAGACGACTGGCACAGGCCAGCGCGCCTGGATTTGGCCCCATCGCGGCCCCCGAACACCGCGCACCAAAGGTAACCTCTTGTCCGGGGTCGTTTTCTGCGCGTGGCCGAGCCTTCTCTTTCTCGCTTCCCCCCCTCTCCGCTCGCCGCGGGAGGCTCATCCTGTGAGGGAGAGATGCGCGCAAGCATACACACCCAGCCGAGACTGCTATACACTCCAGGCGATGCTTAAGAAAACCCAAGTTTTCGGCCAGAGTCTCGATTATTCTTAACGTTTCAGTGTAAATCCAAAGATTTTGACAGAAATTCTGGGTTTTTATTCAATTTCTGAGACTATGAATTTCTTAACCCATGATTTCTTAAGCATTTCGCAGGGTGTAGTTGCGCTGCTGCAAATTAGGAAAATAGATGCTACAGAATTCGCGCTGGAGCATTCGGAACGAGCGCGCCTACGCGACGAGCTCGAGTAAAATAGCGTCCCTGCGCATGGGGGAAGAGAGGCACGACAGTGCCTGCTCCTCCCCCTTTGCAGGTGGTCGACAGCTGGAAGCCACAGTCGTCGACTCCAAGGGCCCGTTTTGAAAGAGACCCTAGAGTTGCACACAGTCCGCTACGACGTTGACGTGGGCGCGGCAGGGCACACGCAGCCCCAAGTTGATGCAGATAAAGGATGGCCTTTTTTTCCGGACTCCGCGAGCATGCCCGCATGGTCTCCCGTGCGGTCTCCCGAATGGTTTCCCAAATGGTTTCCCGTATGGTTTTCCCGAGTGGCTTCCCTTTTGGTCTCCCGTATGGTTTCCCGAGTGGCTTCCCTCTTGGTCTCCTCTGTGCTCTCCCGTGTGCTGTTCGGCGTGCTCTCCGGAAGGTGCAGCGCGGCATCGTGTCTTCTTCATCCTGTAGCTCTCGCGCTCGGGGCCTCCTGCCGCCAGGGTGTCCCTGGCCGGCAGCGTCGAGGGGCAGGCCGGGGGGGGGGAGAAGCCTCGGCACAGCCTCGGCGCCGCGAGGCCGCACGCGGCCGCCGGGTCGGAGGGAGGCGGATCCGCACGACTGTTCGACGCCTGCCCCCCCCCCCCCCATTGGAGGGTGGGGAGAGATGGGGGGGGTGTTTGCCGGCCCCGCGGCGAAGAAGGCATGCGAAACAGAGAGGGGCGAGGCCGCCCCGCGCATGGACGCCCTTTGCAGCGCCCTGGTGAAGGGTCTGAGTGGTGGTCCCGGCTGGAGCACCTGTGGCTGGCTCGATCCAGGATCGAGGGAGCAGTGAGAGAGCCACCAGCAAAGGGGGCGTTCCGCGCTGCCTCGCCCTCCGCGCCGCCCCCCCTGGTGCGCCTCCCCGTGGACGGCCGGGCGGAGGTCTCCTACGACACCCCCACGGCGGCGCAGGAACCCGCCCCCCTCCTGTCGCGGGGGGCTGGGGAGGGGGAGGGCGCCGGTGGGGCGTGTGGGCCGCTCCTCCTCTTCCTCCTCCTCCTGCCTCCTCCTCCTTCTCCTCCTCCTCCTCCTCGTCATCATCATCATCATCATCATCATCATCATCAGCAGCATCAGCAGCATCAGCATCATCATCATCAACATCATCATCATCATCAGCAGCATCAGCATCATCATCATCATCATCATCATCATCATCATCATCATCGTCATCTTCATCATCTTCATCAGCATCAGCAGCGTCATCATCATCCGCATCAGCAACATAATTATCATCAGTATCAGCAACATGAGCATCAGCATCAGCATTGACATCATTATCGTCATCAGCATCAACACCAGCACCAGCACCATCATCATCATCATCATCATCATCATCATCATCATCATCATCATCATCATCATCATCATCATCATCATCATCATCATCATCATCATCATCATCATCATCATCATCATCATCTTCCTCCCCCACCCTCCTCCACATCCCTCCCCCTTCCCCTCCTCATCTCTCGCCCTCCCCGTTCCACATCCCTCCCGCTCTCCCCTCCCTCCGCCCCTCCTCCTCCTCCGCCTCCTCCTCCTCCTCCTTCTTTTCCTCCTCCATCTCCCCACTCCTCGACTCAGCCATTTGCCAGGATGTGCTCCCAGCGCGCCACCACCCGACCAGCCGTCAGGCGAACATGCAGTGGAGCGCGCCGAAGGCGAACTCCATGGCAGGGAGGGGGGCAAGGGGCAGGCGGCGTTGCCCCCTGCGCGGGGCAACGCATCATCGCCGACCCTTCTGCCGTCTCCCCCTCCCCGCGCTGGTATACCGGATGCCTCCACCGCCTGGGCGAGCCAGGCGCGGAGGCGGGCAGTCGGCCAGCCTACGAAGTGGTGCTGGCTGGAAGTCGGCCGCCACGCGGAGAGTCAGAGCGAGCCACGCGGAGAGTCAGAGCGGCCCGCTCCGCGTGCTCTTCGACCTCGGCGACCACGCCAGCTGCCAGCAGTTGCAGCGGTTGCCTCCATCGTTGGCCTCGCGACGCCCCCCCACTCGCGAGCCGCCTCGCCGCCGAGCGATGCTCCAGGCGGCTCGCGAGTGGGGGCGCCCCGTCCGCCGCCGGCAGCACCGCTGCCGCCGCACCAGACGAAGCGGCGAGCGCTGCGGCCGAGGGCGCAGGGCGCAGACCCGTGTCCGCCCAGGCGCCGTCCTCGAGGCCGCTGCCGCCGCCGCCCTCCGTGCCGCCGCCGCCGCGAGCGAGTTCGGGCGCGGCGGGCTCTACCTGCGTGCCAGCGCCACGGCGGCGCCTGCGAGCCCAGAGGAGGGAGGGAGGAACGAGGAGGAGGAGGAGGAGGAGGAGGAGGAGGAGGAGGAGGAGGAGGAGGAGGCGGAGGAGGAGGAGGAGGAGGGGGAGGGGAGGGGGAGGGGAGGGGGAGGGGGAGGGGCGGGGGATGGGGGAGGGGGAGGGGGGGGGGGGGGGGGGGGCGGGGGCGGGGGGCGGGGGCGGGGGCGGGGGCGGGGGAGGGGGGGAGGGGGAGGGGGAGGGGGAGGGGGGAGGGGAGGGGAGGGGGAGGGGGAGGAGGAGGAGGAAGAGGAGGAGGAGAGGAGGAGGGAGGAGGAGGAGGAGGAGGAGGAGGAGGAGGAGGAGGAGGAGGGGGGAGGAGGGGGAGGAGGAGACCGCCGCGAGGGCCTTCAGGCGGCGCGGCGCCGCGGCGGAGTGCACAGAGGCCCCTTTGCGGCTCGAAGCAGCCGAACGGCTGCTGAGCCACGCGCCAGGCCCACCGCGGCAGGGCACCGCCAGCGTAGCCCCGCGGACCGCAGACAGTGCAGAGCGAGGATTGAACACCGCCGACATCGGAGGCCCGCGGCGAGCCGCCCGACGGTGGTCCTGCGGCGGCGGGCTCGACGCGGGAGCGGCTCGAGCCAACATCGCTGCGGGCACCACCTCCCCCCTCCTCCTCTTCCTCCTCTTCCTCCTCTTCCTCCTCCTTTTCCTCCTCTTCCTCCTCCTTTTCCTCCTCCTTCTCTTCCGACTACGCCTCCTCCTCCTTCTCCTTGTTCTCCTCCTCCTCATCATCATCATCATCACCATCATCACCATCACCACAATCAGCATCATCATCAGCAGCATCAGCAGCATCGTCATCGTCATCATCGTCATCATCGTCGTCATCATCATCAACAGCATCATCATCATCATCATGAGCCTCCTCAGCTGCAGCATCATCATCATCAGCATCATCACCATCGTCATCATTATTATTGTCATTATCGTCATCATCATCATCATCATCATCATCATCATCATCATCATCATCATCGTCATCTTCATCATCTTCATCAGCATCAGCAGCGTCATCATCATCCGCATCAGCAACATAATTATCATCAGTATCAGCAACATGAGCAGCAGCATCAGCATTGACATCATTATCGTCATCAGCATCAACACCAGCACCAGCACCATCATCATCATCATCATCATCATCATCATCAGCATCATCATCATCATCATCATCATCATCAACATCAACATCAACATCAACATCAACATCATCATCATCACCACCACCATCATCATCATCATCATCATCATCGTCATCATCATCAATCCTCTCTCCCCCCGCCTCCCCGCTCATACCCCTCTCCCGCCCCCGCCTCCCCTCTCACGCTGTTCCTTCATCTTCCCGAGGCGGCAACGTGGAGGAGGAGGAGGAGAAAGGGGAGGGATGTGGGACGATGAAGCAGAAGCTCCTAACGCTTCGCGTATCTGAGCCATGTTCCGTAGCCTCTGGCTCAAGCCGTCTCTGGGCCCCGGCTCCTCGGCCGGGTCTCCCAGCTCAAGGGGGCATCCCCTAGGAGTTTGCGGGCCGCGCGCTTCCCCCCGTGCCGCGCTCCGGCCATATCAGACTCCCTGGGTTCCGCGCCTACGGTTCCTCGCAGCAGCTTGGCCCAGGTCGGGCTTAGCATGAATGGGAGACCGATCGACGACGGTCCTAGGTTTCCTGGGAACTCCGCGGGTGACGATGCAAGCCCAGTCGACGGCCAGGGGGCCCACGGACTGGCAGACTCAAGACATCCTCCCCCTGGATCACAGGACACCACCCCGCCAGGGCAGCGCCCCCCGCCCCCTGGGACCCCCCGAGTACGGGCGGTCCGAACTCGTCCGCGGACCCCGTGATCGCTCCCGTTGACGTTGCATGCGCACGAGAACCGATGGCCTTCAGCCAGACGGGAAGATGGGGAGACACGTTTAACGCCGCGAGACACACTGATATAGCGACCTTCAGTCGCTTCCCTGGGTTTGACATTGACAGGAATGACGCCCTCCCGCCGAACTTATCTCCCTCCCTCACCCCTACCCTTCCTCTGCCCATGGCTGGGCGCCTAATTTCCTTTTCTCCTGGCGGTGCAGGGCAGAGCTGGATCGCCCGCGGCGATGCCAGGATCACGGGGGGCGAGGGCCCCATTCCAGAACAAGTGAATCCCCCGACGGACCCAGGCCCGCTCTGGTCGCGAAGGGGCGACCGCCAGAGAGACGCCCCCGACGACCGGTCCAGGGGCCTCACCGACGAGGGCGGGGGGACTAGGGCTGGGGCCACTCAAGAGGGTGACCGCGGTTGCGACAGGAGGGGAGACGGGCAGACGCCTGCCCTTGTACCCGACTCGCATCCCAGGGGCTTGCGCCTCCACTCCGCCGAGCGCCCCCCCATGGGCGCTTCAATGCCGAGAGAAGCAGCCTTCAGCTGCGAAGGGGCCAACTCTGCGTCCTAGCGTCCTAGCATCCTGCGTCCAACTCGCCAGCTGTGGAGGCCTGCGTCCTAGCCGTGCACCCACGGACTTAAGCAGACGGCTATACGGCTGTCGCCATGCGCCCGCCGCCCTCCTTGGATGCAGCAGAGTGGACATAGAAGGTGGGCCTTCAGCCCTTGGAGCGCCCTGCGAGACAGCAGATTTGAGGGGGTCTGCTGCCGGGGACTCCTCAAGCGGACTGTTGGGCGCCGACGGCGACGCGGCGACCAGTCTACTCTCTGGTCACTTCCGTAATCCCGAGGACTCTCGCCCGCCAACCGCACCCCAGTCAGGCAGCCTCAGACGGGGCGAACCTTCAGCTCGGGACTCTCACGCGGAACGAGCCTTCAGCTCGAGGCTCCAAGGCGCATCGAGCAATCTCAGAGGTGACGAGCCTTCAGCTCGAGAACCAGAGACGGCGCCAATGGACGTCGGGAGCGCCGCGGAAGATGTGACCACGAGTGGCGACGGGTGTCGCCGCGCGCCTGCCGCCCTTCCTGGGGGCGGCAGTACGGCGCACGCAGAAAACGGGCCTTCAGCCCGTGGAGCTCCCAGCGAGACAGCAGATTTGAGGGGGTCTGCAGCTTGGGGCGCCTCGAGCGGACTGTTGGGCGCCGACGGCGATGCTGCGACCAGTCAACTCCCTGGTCACTCCTGTAACCCCGAGGACTCTCGTCAGCCACCCGCCCCCCAGTTGGACAGTTGCGGATGGGGCGAGCCGTTAGCTCGGGATTCTCATACGGAGCGAGCCTTCAGCTCGAGGCTCCAAGGCGTATCGAACAACCTCAGAAGTGACGAGCCTTCAGCTCGAGATCCAGAGACAGCGCCCATGGACACCGAGAGAGCCGCAGAGGCTGTGACCACGAGTGGAGACGACATCGACCCTCCTGGCATTCCTGGTGCATCCGCTCAGGGCCTCCCCCATCAGGTGGACCCCCACGCCAGCTGCGGGCGATCGACCGACCCCGTTGACGTAGGCGCAGATGGGACTGGCTCCACAACGGGGCCATCCCAGAGAAGGCGCGTCGAAGACCGCGCGGCAGGCGCAGCCAGCAGCGCAAGCAGATCAATCGGCTCCCGCCCTGACTCCGCCGCCCCCCTCCCTGGAGACATGGGCGCCGCCGCAGGAGCAGCGCCCAGCCTCCACGCCGCTAACCTCATCGACGAGACTGGCCTTCAGCCAGGAAGAAGAGAGCAAGAGACAGGTGGGCCCGGCAATAGGGGCTACAGAGAGGCACGCCCCTCTGCTGAGACGACCGACCGTGACCGACCTTCCCTGGGAACGACGACGGAGTTGTCCATGGGGCGGCTCCACGCGCCCGATGTCAGCAGGGTCTTCGCCGACCCCGCCGACGGGGCAGGTTCCCAGGTCGATCGGATCGATCACATCGGACCTCCGATCGTCGTCGCGGGATCGCCTTGCGTCTCCCTTCCCTCGCCCGCCCGCCCCCCTCCCATCCACTCCCTTCCCGACCCACCCCCTGGGCTAGAGCGTCCAGACGGCCCCCTGTGCGGCGTTGGCCACGGCTGCGAGGGCCCGCCTCAAGGACGGGACCGGGGACCCCTCATCAGGACGGCCAACGGCTCCCCATTCGCGTTGAGGTGCGCGGCTCCCAGAGCGCCCGTCACGCCCGACCCGCTCTCCTACCCCTCCCCCGACCTTGCCCTGGAGGAGGAACTGCGGAGGGAAAACCAGGCCGCCCCCTCGGAAGCCGAGGAGGACCCCAGCCAAGCCCATAGAGACAGAGGGCAGTACGCAACCGACCTCCACGCTCGGTGGATGGACGCCACTGGGCATACGAACGCTGACTGGGCAGTTAGTGGGCAGGCTGACGGACCCATGTGTGGGCCGCGCGTCGCGGACGCTAGGGTCACTGGCAGGGGAGGCACCATGAACGCCCTCCGCCGCCACCTAGTGCGTATCGACGGTCCCTGGCGCGAAATCCCCGATCGAGGGGCACCGAGGACACCGCGCGAAACCAGGAACCTGGAGCTCCTCACGCACCACGCGTGGAGGGGGCACCGCCCTGGTCACCCAGGCGTACGAGTAGGCAGCCCCCTGCGTGCGGCTCCAGCAGAAGCCCTCCTCCCTGGACTCGGTTTGCAACGAGCCACCTCGGCCCCAACCCTCGCCATCTTGGACCTCTCCTGGCTAGTCTGGTCCGTCACGGGAGGAGATCACGAAGGGCGCCTCGGGGGTGCGCAACCAGACCCGATGCAGGTGCTCGCCTTCCGCTTCGCGAGTATCACCCATGACCCCAGTATAAGGAGGGAAAGATTGGACGCGGATGATCCCTCTGTAGCGGAAAGACAACTAGCGCGTCTAGAATATGTTGCCATGGACGCTGCAGCACACTACTGCGACATAGGTATGGAACTCCCGAATGGATTCGACACAGACAGGATGCCCTTGCCCACCAGGTCTCCCGGTGACGCAGTGCCCCCGCGCAGTAGCGGCCCTAACCGACCAGACGGGACCCAGGGCCCCATGGACGACGAAACCAGGGAGTATGCGCATAGAGTCCTAATCCACGAGCGCAGACAGAACATCGCTCACTTTCCGGACCATGGGGGCATCAGACAGTGGGCCATCATGAGGGGCAATCTTGAACGGGTTGGGGACGACGTACACTCGAGACGACAAGCAGGTAGAGGCCCAGTACCATGGGTAGAGCCAGCCCTTGCAGGAGTAACCGCCAGCTCAACGGGCATTCCTGGGGCACCGATCCAAGGTGGCGACAGTAATGACAACGCATGGCCCTGGTCCACCACAGCGCGCCGCCTGCTGCTGCAGGACTTCTTCTGCCCGACTCAACGATGCAACTTCTGCGGTTCGTGGATGCTTCGAGACCCACGGGCCGACGCTGCATCACTATCCACAGGTTGGCCAACCCATGGAGCTACAACCAGGGCGAGTGGCAATCGGGCGACCTCCATCAGGGTCACCCAGACGCAGACTCGGAACAGCCACTCAACAGGCACGTGCTCGACTTTCTGGATAGCATCTTGCTGTTGCAGCTGGTCAGGGCGGGCATGCGGCACGCCCCAGTCGCAAAGCACCTTTACTCCCCGGCTCAACCTGGCCCCTCCGACTTCACCCCGACCTGGCTCGTGGGCGAACTCGTGGGAGCCTGGAGACACATGGTGGCCCAAGCCTCAGGCCTGGCTGAGATCTGGGCCTACGACGGCACCAGAGGCCTTGAAGACTTTGGAGGCGATTGGCAACTGCGCACAGCAGCGGTCTCCCTAGCCTTACTCTGCTCCGCGCCAGACTCCTGGGCCCTTAATGTCTGCCAAAAAAATACGCCGCCTACTTAGGACTTGCCCTCAGGGGCGACTGGACGGCTGGTTCCCCCCGCAGCTCTACCACGAGGACCCGAACACTTACCCGCCACCGCACTGGAGGGGTCCCCCAACGAGTAGGCCAACCGCGACGATCGCGATAGGACCGAACACCGTGGCACACCTGGGTGATCTCCGCTGGCTAAGCGCCACCATCGGCGGGGACCACCTGGACCAAGCCATAAGCGACTCACGAAACGGCATGGTCCTCAGCAGACGCTGGTGGCACAACAGAGACAGTCCACACGCCCAGGCAGCCGAGGTTATGAGAGGTGCGCTACAGGCAGCAGCACGCACCGACTGGCGCCCAATACATGCCCAAATGGGGCAAGAACCCCCCCCTGGGAAACCTCGTTACAGACGCCGTCATCCGACGCCTAGAGTCAGACAGTGGATTTCACGACCTCGAGCACGCGGAACGACCCAGTGGTGGACACTCCCCCATGGACGTAGACAGCCCCTGGCACGACGGGAGAGGCCCCACTGGCGGAGATGGAGGCAGAGAAACAGCCCTCCACAGACCTCCCCCAGACTCCGTGCAGGACCTATCCCCCGCGGAGCGCTCCCAGCGAGAAGCCTTCGTCGACGAGGTGCAACGAATCAGGGGGATGGTGGCCAGTAACTCCGTTGCCCCAGGCATGCGGTGGAGTAGAAGCCTGGTCCCCTTCATATGGGGCACCGCCACAGACAGGGGCCGTAACGTGCTCGAGCAGGCGTTTAGGACCACCAATATCAATACTAACATCATCAACCAGGCAGCCACATGGTGGAGAGCACGAGGCGTCCTCTCATATAGGGGCGCCCAGGTAGTCCTTGCGTCAGAGGCAGACGCATCCTCCAGGGCCACTGGATCTACGCTCGAGGCACCCGAAGTGGGCAGCTACATCGCGCCACGGCTGCAGGAATGGATGATGGAGCAACTAGACGCGAGTGGCTCCCTTCAGACGGCCATCCTGTCAGGGGACCGGCAGGCAGTAGAAGCGGGGGCGAGGTTGCGAGCGGAGCAGGCCAGGACCGAGCAGAGAACGAATCCAAGGAACCACTGGCCCACGCACGAAGAAAGGGCGCGCCCTGGAGCAGAGGCTGCGACTGCGGAAGCCGCGAGCACAACCACCCCCTGGCACGCGGACATACGACAGTTGCTCAACCGAGCGAACGTGGCTATCCCCCAGGGCAGACTACCACCAGGCAGCACGAGAGAAGAGCACCTGGACAGACTCATCCGCACGCTAGACGCCAGACAGCGAGACGAGGAGGGTGCAGGCAGGGGGACCATGCCCGCCCCTGAAGGAAGGACTTCCGTCAATGGCGACCAGGCACAGTGCCTGGCTCAGAGCATGCTGTTAGACCACGGAGCTAATGGGCAACCAGGCTCCTGGATCTCCAAAGCCCTGTGGCTCTGCCTGGCGCCACACTACTTCCCCCTTCTGAGGCCAGTACTGATTGTGCGAGCGGTGGACTCCCGGCCTTACGACGTACTCTACCGTTGGATGACGAGAGCCGAGATGCACACGCCGGAGGACGTGGTTACCTGTCTC